TTAAAAATTTTAATTTTATACATATTGTTAGTACAATATTCAAAAAATGGTGTTTTAAAAATATGAGAAAAAAATTAAGAATATTTTATGTTTACCAGAAGTGGACAATCTTTTCAACATTTGAATCATTCCAGGCTTCAAAGGCGAATTTTCTCCAGGGATTGTCGATGATTCTGCGAGTGCACAAAAATTTTTTAGAAAAATTATTGATTTTTAGTTATGTATTTATCTTATATTTATTAACTATAAATAAATTAATAATTGTAACATATTAAATAACAGAATAATAATAATTTTAAAATTAGAAAAAAACTGAAAATTTTATTTTTTTTTGTGTTTAAAAATTGAAATAAATAACTTTAATGAATTAAAATCTTTTATTTAAAATTTAAAAAAATCATTCTGAATATGAAATATATAGCTAATAGACATTATCCACATGTTATTCTTATAATAAATTCCCTCACAGCACCGGGATATTCAGGATATCCCAGAGACGTCCTGGGGATATCGATTTGTTTTCGGAAGTTTGGATATCTCTGGGATATCCTAGGGACGTCCATGGATATCCAGAGGATAATCCAGGGATATCCAAACTTCCGAAAACAAATCGATATCCCCAGGACGTCTCTAGGATATCCTGAATATCCCGGTGCTGTGAGGGTTAAGAAAAAATTATAATATTTAGAAAAAACTTAAACATTTACATAATATATTGACTTACTAAATAATAAAGAAATCTATTTTCTAACTTACCTATTTTATCCAAGTTGAATTAAATATTGCCAAATTTCGAATTTTAAATTAATTTTCTCTTAGAGACGAAAAGTAGCACGAACTTCACTGTTTGAGCTCTCAATACGAAATAAGTAACAACCATAACATGGCTATTTACAAAAACCCTAATGGCATCTATATATGTACTACACACACACATATATATAATATATATCTTTTTGTACCTTCTGGTATGTCTTATTTCAAAGAATTTTGTATACTATACATATATATGTTATGTTCATCAAACACGTTATTGAATCACTTTCTGGAAATTATTTTATACAGAAGTTACAAATTATCGATCTAGTTTAGTTTAAAATGTCTAAATATTGTAAGAAGAAAATTTTATACGTGTGAAAATACTAAAACAAATATTTTAATTGCATTTGATATTTAAAAATGTTTTGTTCAAAAATTAAATTTTTAGACTAATTAATGTTAAGAAATCAACACTTTGATATATTTTCTAAATATTTTAAAAATGTTCCACTTAAAGGTTTGAAATATTGCAATACGAAATCCTTTTACTTAATTATTCGTTTAAATCAAAATTTCTTAAAAAAATATAATCATTTTTTCTAAATAAAATAATGAACTTTTACTGAATTATGCGTTTTAATAAAAATTGTTATTAAATTATAATTAAAGATATTTAAATAATTATATTGTTTATATTTAAATAATTAAAGAAATTATAAGATTTTTTTCGAAAGAAAGGAAAAACTTTGATTAAATGGTATGTTTAACTTAAAACTGTTTTAAAAAATGTATCTTAAAAAATGTTAAAACTTTTAGTTCATTAGCACAAAAAATTATGATTTTTTATATGCTTTTTTAAAACAAATTTCGTTTGACTAATCTAAATTATGTAAATTTTTTTCCTTCTTATTTATTATTCATAAAAGTATTAGAAAATTGTTAAAAGATTATGATTAAGAAATAAGAAATATATTTATTTTATGTATCATTTTTATTTCTCAATAACAATATTGTTTATAAACTCATTGTTTTCATTTGGAAAAAAACATTACCTATTCCCATTTCTTAATACTTTTGTAGGAAATTCACAATTTTCATAAGGAAATAATTTGTATCATTTCTATTTTTTAATTAGAATTGCTTTAATAAAATTTAAGTTTTTAAAAAATACAGGAAAACAATTTTTTTTAATGGTAAAATTATTCGAAAACAACAATAACTCCTTTTTTAAATACAATAGGTTATTTTTACACAGGAATTTAAAATTCAAACCTTTTTGAAATTAAACAACATAAATACAAAGTATTATTATTTTATATTAAGAATATTTTTACTGTAACCTCTTAAAAATTATTTTCATTATTTCAATTCAATTATTTTTTTCTAGAATTTTTAACTCAAATTCCTCTCTAAATCATCAGTTTTTCATAATTTTTGAAAAAGTTCTTTAAATATTTTGAAATAAATCTGTTTAAAATAAATTTTTACGAAATTTTGATTATTCGTAAATTTTCCTATTAAATATATAATGGAATATAGAAACTTCAAATTATTTTTAAAAAATTAAACTAAACTTTTTCAAAAAAATTAATTCTTCTGAATTGATAATTAAAAGTGTAGAAAATTCAAATTTTCACACATTTTAATTTGAAACCTTTTCAAAATTATTCAATTATTTAAATACAAAAATAAATAATTTTATTGAACAATTAAATGTTTTTTAAAATTTGTTTAAATCGTGAATTTCAAAAAGGACTCGGATTTTAAGAAAATAATTAGGTGTTTGAGTACAATTTTATTAAATTGTTTTTAAATAAATGAATTCTTGGAAAATTTATTAAAATAAATACTTAATTACGAGATGTTCGCCTTAGGGCGTCCCGGGGCGACCAAAGGTTCTCAAATTCAGTTTATTACAGTTTATTTATATGATAACAAACGATAATAAACTAAGTTTGAAAACCTTTGGTCGCCCCGGGGCGCCCTGGGACCAACATCTTGTAAACACCTATTGAAAATCATTGAAATGGGAATTTTTTTAAATATAATTGAATTTTTCATAAGAATTTTGTTACTTATAAAGATAATTGTGGTTTTTAGGATATTTTTTTAAATTTTAAACATAATTAACCTTTGTAAGTCAAATAAATGGTATTTGCTTTTAATACTAAAATTTTTGGTTCAAATACCATTTAATTGACTCCAATAAATATTATTTGATTCAAGTAAATATTTAATTGAGAATAGACAATTAATCGGTTATTTGAAATAATTAAGGGGGTATTCTGGTCTAGAGGCCTCAATTTTAAGGCGTTTTTCCGAGTGGGATGAAAAAGAAAGTTTAACATTTTTTATATTTACTTTTTTTGCAAGTTGTTTATTAATGTTCAAAGAATTCAAAAAAAATTGGGGAAAAAAATCAAAAATTTTAAAAGTTATGAACTGGTAAAGTGTGAATTGAAAGAAATTCTTGTTGACACGATAACTCAAAATCTACTCAAACGATTTACTTCAAATTTTGCAGAAATGTTCTTTGTATATCTCTTTATGGTCGCAACCTTGGATTTTGAAAAATATTTTTTTTACTATTTTTAAAAAATTAAAAAAAAGATTAATAACAGAATCAAAAAACACTATTTTTTTAAATCGTCGCCATTTTGCTAAAAAAAATTATTTTTTCTTTTCCAAGGTATCGACCATAGCAAAGCCTTTAATAATTAAGAATTTTTTTTAGTTTTTTGTTTTAGAGCATTACAAAATAATTAATTAAAGGGATATTTGTTTCACTATCCTTAATTGTTTTTACGTCAAATTGGGGATTTAAAATTGCAATGCGACACATAGTGACCATAACGTGAACTAAAAAAAATGGTTACTGTGGGTGTACAAGGTTGCAAAAAATGTTAATATTTAAAGTATTCTAATGTTTAAGAAATATTTGTTAAGATAGTTGGTCATTATTTATCTTTTTATTGAAAAACTACTTAAAATTAAAACAGAAAAGTCACAATATAAGTTTATATTTTTTTAAATTTGTACACCCATTTCGTCCATTTTTGGTGTAAAACACTAGCGACACCGAGCCCGCGGTGGTAATTTTCATTGCCAATAGAAACTTTTTTAAATAAAATTCAAGTGTGGGATGTCTACACACATTAAAAAAATTTGAATTTTTGTGAAGGTTTTTTTCCTGTTTTAATAGATATTATATTATTTTTTTAATTTAATATAATTCTTTTTATTTTCTAATTAATAAAAAAACTTTTAATTATAATTTATAATTATAAATATATTTGTAATACAAAATTTTATATGTTTAAAGTTTCGTATAACTGAAATTTCTTTTTGTGAAATTTTATTTACTATAATTTTCATTTAAACGAATTTTTATTATTGAACAGAATATCTTTTAGACTAATTATTAAGATATTTGTCTCGCGACTGGTCACTCTCAAAAGTTTGTATCCGACGACTGTACTTTTGAAACGATTTTGAATACGAGTATCATAAAAACTTTTGTACACGTACAGTCTCACGAGTTTCACACACAGAAGTTCTCAATGTATAATCATAACCTCATTCTTGGAAAACGATAATGGCAATTTTTATCAATCGGAATAACGAAAATAAAACAATGCTAAAATTTAACTTTTTTCCTTCTTTCTCAATCTAAAATAAATAACATAATAATGTAATATTATGACTGAATCATATTATTAAAGTATTTCATGAAAAACAATATTTTTAATGTATAATTTTTGTGGATATTTTAAGTTCTTGAATACAGCATTATCTAGGACATAAATTTTTAAATTTTCTTTAGATTTGACTCTAGAACAACCAACATAAATTTGACCATGACCAAATGCAGAAATAGGTAGAAATATTCCTACTTTATCAAAAGACTGTCCTTGAGATTTATTGATAGTCATTGCATAAGCAAGTCTGATTGGAAATTGTCTTCTTACCATTTTAAAAGGAAATGTATCTTCTGAAGGAGATAAATCAATACGAGGAATAAAAACTATTTCACCTTTCGATTTTCCAGTAATTATTTCTGCAGCAATAACGTATTTCAATAAAGATTTTACAACTAATCGAGTCCCATTACATAATTCTTGAACCAAATTCATATTTCTTAAAAGCATAATTACACACCCTATCTTCAATGATAATTTAAGGGGAGGCATACCATCTGGTGTTAAACTATTTAAAAATTCTACTGGAACAATATTATTTACATTTTTTTCATCATCATCAGCTATATGTGAATCAACACTGTAATAAATTACTTCTTCTCCTTCTAGTTTTGACAAAATACGATCATTCATGTCTAATACTTCTGAATTAGTCAATGAAAGAATACAAGAAGAATAAACATTCACATCATTTGGATTTATCGATGATCCATATATTTCATCAATTAAATTTCCATTCGATATCAAATCTTGTGGAATTTCTAATACATCATTTTCTTTTTCAAACGTACTTTGAGGTTTGCCATCACCAACATTCAATAACCAATTTGAAAACTCTACTTGATTATCATGTAATCTAACGTTAACATTTAAAGATCTAGTTTCAAAGTATTGCCACAATTTACTATTTTTTACACAAACCTCAACAATATGAGTGCGACTACCATGCGGAACAATTGGCAAAGTTTGCCTAAAATCACCTGAAAGCAAAATAACTTTACCTCCAAACGGTTTATTACATTTTGTAATATCTCTTAACATGGATTCCATTGCTTGTAAAGCATATTTTGGGGTCATTGAAATTTCATCCCAAATAATAATTTTTGCACTCTTTAAAAGTTCAGCATGTTTCGACATTCCACTTATATTACATGTTGAATCTTCATTGATTGGTATAGGGAATTTAAACATAGAATGTGACGTTCGTCCTCCTTTTAGAAGATTAGCCGCTATACCAGTCCAAGCAACTGATAAAACTACTATTTCCTCACTTTCGACTGTAGTAATAATAGTATTGTGTAAATAGCTTTTACCACTTCCTCCAGGCCCATCAAGAAAAAAATATCTACTATCATATTCATCATTATGTACGGCCGTCATAACATCATTAAAAACTTGCCGTTGTTCATCATTCAAACTTTCAATAAGATTATTAGCTTCTTCTTTTAGCAATTGTAATGTTAACGCATTATCTTCCTTATCAACAGAACTATAATCTTCAAGAATTTTCAGATCGATGTTTGGTAAACCAAATTGATGTAATGTAAATCCATGAAAATTAAATACTTCATTAATTAAAAGTAATGATTTTTGAAGCGATATTTCCACAGGTAAATTATTATCGAAAACCATGTGTTCTTTAAACTTATTCCATAAATCAACAGCATTTACAGGCAAACCAAACACACATATATATGCGAATAAACGACATAGTTCTTTAGGAAATTTCATACTCACAGCTTCAGTCAAACAATTATCCCACTCGTTATCGTCTACCATCAAATTTCTTGCACGTGCTGCTTCTATATAAGTATTATATGTAATACCTTCATATGTTCTCACATCTTCAAACGATTTAGCACCGCGTACATAAAGTAGTAAAATTCTCAAAAAATATCTTTCAATGTCTTTTGGACTTACAAAATACATTCGACAAATTATAGGTTTTGTAATTCGTTCTCGTTTTTTCCAAGTTTTAGTTGACTCAACAAAAACATACTTATGTGGTATTTCAGAGTACAAATATTTGCGTGCCTCAGGATCTTGTCTATTTAACTGAAACCATGCTGTCAACATTGTATTTTTAAATTTCTCAATTGCAGTTTGTTCCATTCCTTCTTGAAAACATATTGATTGTTGATTAGGCAAATGTACAGCTAGTCTATATGTTGCATGTGATTGCTCGTGCATATTAAATTCATAAAGTCTATGCATTGCTTCTGGTGGACACACATACCGTGTATTTAAATAATTTTGAATTTCATCATAATGGATTACTTGATTATCATCTTTATAACCAACTATTGCATAATCATGTCCCTTATAACAATATTTAAATAAATACTTAATACCACCTGTACTACCACATGCTACTAAGTTAATATGACATGCAAATTTTGTACTTAAATACGGATTATATGATACAATCATCGAATTGTCAGCAGTGCATTTAATTGACCCGTCTCTATTATAAAAAATAATTTTTTTGCCATCATTTCTCCGTCTATACTCCGGATAATTTTTTGATTCATAATTTGTTTTTGGAGAAAATGGTTTAGGATAATTTTTCGTGCATAATTTTGTTTCAGGATTCATACAAGGAGAATATTAGAGATGTGCAAAAAGCTCGAAAAGTCGAGCCGAGCCGAGCCGAAATTTTTTCGGGCCGAGCCGAGCCGAGCCCGAGCCGGCTCGATGTATCGAGTACTCGAAATTTTCGAGTACTCGAGTGACTTCGAGTACTCGAAAAATTCGAGTACTCGGGTAAATTCGAGTACTCGATTAAATTCGAGCACTCGAGTGAATTCGAGTACTCGAATTTTTCGAGTACTCGAATGGATTCGAGCTTTTGACTTACTAAAAAAACTATTAATAAGTAAAAAATTTCGAATTTTTTTGAATTACTGAATCAATATTTCTATTTGCTAAATATAATAAATGCGAAAATTCTATGAATTTTCTCTAGAACTCGAATTTACTCAGAGCTCGAAAAAATTCGAGTACTCGAATTCCCTCGAGTGCTCGAAAAATTCGAGTACTCGAATTAACTCGAGTACTCGAAACTATTCGAGCTTTTTACACAGCTCGGCTCGGCTCGAACTCGGCTCGAGCTCGAACTGATTAGGCTCGGCTCGGCTCGGCCCGAAAAATGAAAAGCTCGAAAAAGCTCGCTCGAGCCTCGAGCCTCGAGCTTTTTGCACAACTCTAGAGAATATACATTTTGCTTTCCACAAGGTCCATGAACTTGAAACTGTTTCACAATTTTATAAAGTTCTGGATTCTTTTTCTCATCAGGAATTTCTGCACATATTATTTTATCTGCAGTTTCTGCATCACGAATAGCAAACTTTTTATCTAAAAAAATTATTGAATGTACATGAGGCAATCCACGCTTTTGAAATTCTATTACATATACATAAGCAATGACTGGACCAAAAATTTGTTTATCTTTTAATTCACACATTAATTCTTTTACTTTCTTTTGGAAAACTCGGGCAACAATATCTGGTCGGTCAGATGCAGTTTCCGAATCCAACAAATTTTCCATAATCTCAGGCCATTTTGGATTACATGTCATTGTAATAAATAAATCTGGTTTTCCAAATTCTTGAACTAATCGCATAGCGTCCATAAAACATTGTTGATAAGCACGTGGTCCTCCAGTAAATGTAGAAGGTAAAATAATCATTTTTCCTGGTCGAATATTTTCTTCTGTTGCTTTATTATTGATATAATCCATTAATCCACAGTACATTTCTGCTTGCAGTTTTTTCTGTTCATAACGAATATATTTTAAACGCTCACCTTCTTCTTTTGACCAACTATCAACAATAAATTGTTGAGTTAATTAACCCATTTGTAAACATGGATTAAATGTTCCTCTATAAGACAAGCGATACATATAAAATTGTAAAGGAGTAATATTACGAACACCATCAGTATGTTTCATATTTACAGTCCATCCTGGATCACCTGACGGAAACATTAAAGGATATGTCATAGGATCAGCATGTGTGCTAAGACTACTAATTGGAATACTTTTAGAACCCCTTGGGTGAATACATATATCACGTTCAATTGGAGGTTCACCATTTTCGCTAACAAATATGACTGCTACTTCATTGCAAGACGGAACATTATATTTGCTTTGAGAAAATTTTCTATCACGTTTAAACCACATTTGAATACTTCTCGGACACTCATTCATTAATTTTGCCCTTGCTTCTTCTTCCAATTCAAATTCTTTCATCATTTTAAATGACTTTGCATAAATATTAATATCTCCTAGTAAAATATCTATTTCAGTCATTAGTAATTGCAAACACTTTTTATTACATTCATTATTCAATCGTTCCATCACCGCTTCGTCAGTATCAAGAATATACAATTGACCATATTTTCGATTATCTCCATCATCAGGATGAAGAGTGTATGTATTATGATACACTTGTCCATGTATACGAAAAACATAAGGACCATATCCTTTTGGAACTTCTAATTTAGCTCCCATGCTAGCAAATGCACACGAACTATTATAAGAACGAATATTTTCTTTATAATTCTTACTTTCAAAATTATTATCAAATAATAAATTTTTCAAATACAAAGGATAAGGATTTAAATCATACAATTTTACTTTTCCTTTATGACAACAACTACTAAATTTTTTATCCGGTGGCCTTTCACACAAAAAATGTAACGCGTCACAAAATATACATTTAACATTCATTAAACCTAAATAATTTTGGGAAACTCTATTTTTATCAAAATCTTCAGACAAGATAATTCCAACTCCTAAAGTTTCCAGCATTTTTCCATTTTTTTTATCAATTTTAATTGTTAAATTCTTTTTTTGGCGCTGCTCTTTTTCTAATTTTGTTTCCAATAACAATTTCTTTTTTTACTTTCTAAATTATTATTTTGTCGTTTTTTTTATCATCGTCCGTTTCCAAAGATAATTCTTTTCTTTTATGATTTAAATTGTTTTGTTTCATTATTTGTTTTTCATCTACATTTTTCGCTTTTCTGTAATTATGTTTTCTCAATCTATCATTCTCTAGTCTTATTTTTTCTGTTCATCTGTTTCTTCAAACCTTGCCTTCCTTTTCCTCTCCTTGTCCTTGTCCTTGTCTGATTCCTTTCTCAGCAATTTTTCAAATTCAGTAATATGATTGTCATTTAACTTTTTTCCTTCAGTATTTAAAATTTTATAATCTTCATCACTTAAATTTTGTGGATCTTTTGTTTCATTTTCTATTTCTAGAGCTACTTTAATTTTTTTACCTTTTAAATTGTTTTGCTTCATTACTTTCTCTTTATCTATATTTCTAGTTTTTTGGTAATTACGTTTTCTCAGTCTATCATTTTCTAGTCTGATTATTTTCTGTTCATCTGTTTCTTTGAGCCTTTCCTCCCTTTTCCTCTCCTTATCTTTTATTGCTCGATGTCTCTTTTTCTCATCGTTTTCATTTTTATTAAGCTTCTCCTCTGAATATTCTGTAGATATACCTCTATTCACATTATTATTACTAATACTGATACTAGTTTCACAAATGGAAGACAAGTTTGGTATTTCTATGAGTTTTGTAGCTCCATCCGTTAAAAGACATTTCCAATCATACTCAACAAAAAAAGGTCTAATAACATTTGTCAATTCCACGGAAGGAAATGAAATTAAACGATTATTTTCAAACATAAAAATTAGATGTCGTCTTATTTCACTATGAATATAATTAACAGTATTTGGCAATTCATTGTAATATAAAGATGTTGCAAACGCTATTGCATATATGCCACAGTCAATTCCATTCGGCTGTAGATTAACAGTTGAAAAAACTACCGGTGGTTTGAAAGGATATAATCTAAGTAAATATTTTTTTTGATCTTCATTTAAGTATCCCTTATTAAGACTGTTATAAATATATAGCCTTAATCCATCATAATAAGTACAAATCCATTGACCAGATTTGCAAGCACCACTAAAAAGTATTTGAATGTGCTTCTGATTTTTATCAATCGGAATAATGAATTCAGGCGTAATTAAATATAAAGTACTTTGCATGTTAAATGCTAAATTTGATTCTCTTCTTAACAACTTTTCAAATTTAGTAATATGATTGTCATTTAACATTTCTCCTTCAGTATGTAGAACTGTATGATCTTTATCACTTAAATAAACCTTTTCTTCTTTGTTAGACATGATTTTTTAATAAAATGAACAAATAATAGAATATTTTTCAAAAACTTATTTTTAGAAAACAGGTTTAAACTTAAAACTTCTAAATCATAAATAAAGAAATGAAAATAATGAATGAATATAAATAAATTTTTATAATTTATGTTATATTTTATTTTTTATATAAACATTTTTTTAGATTTAAATTTAAATTTATTTTATTTAATATATATTTTAATAATAAATAGTCATCTAACTTCTTATAAATCTCATATTTATCTCATAAATCACAAATTCGCATAAATAACATAAGTCACATAAATCTCATTTTTGTCCTATATAAATCAAATAATTTTCATAATTACTGTAAAAAGAATGGTACTAATTTAGTACAAATTTTGGTACTGAATCTTAATTTTGTTCTATTTTAATACCAAAAATCAGCTCTAATTTAGAACCATTTATTTACAGTGAAGTCACATAAGCACATATAACTCGTGAATCTCAAATGAATCATAAACACATATAATTCATAAAGCTGATATAAATCATAAGCACATAATCTCATATAAATCATAGGCACATAAGTACAAATAAATATATTAAAAATTGCAATATCTTACCTATTATAATTCCAAAACTTTTTAATCAAAACTTACCCAAAACAAAATTAACAAAAATAAATAAATGTATTTACTCAATAACAAAATTATTGAATTCAATTTTTTTTAAAGTAGAGTTATTTTCAAAAACATATACCTCGTTCTCAATCGCCCTCTTTTTCACTCATTAATCTATCTGTGAGTGAGAAAAGAAAAATAATTAGCCAATAAGGAAATAAGACGCCCATTTCGTATTTTGGCTTGAAAGTCAAATTCCCCTCTTTTCCTGCCTCCATCAAATTCTGTTCCTCTCTTTCTACCTGACCCGAAAAATGGAGAAAACATGATACCCCCTTCTAAACCCAAAAAGTGGGCATTACTTTCTTAACTATTCGTCTCTCTTTCGCTCCTACTCTAAACTAAAAGGAGAGACAATACCTCCCTCCCTCTCTTTCTCTCTATCAACCCTTCTCTCTCACTGTGGACAGAATGTACACGATCTGGACAGACTGAATAAATGAATTCGAAGATTATTATAGTTAATTACTTAATTGTACTTACCTAATTATAAAATAATTGCATTTATTTTTAATTTAAAAAGTACATAACTTTTTTTAAAAACAAATAAAATATAATTTATTAACAATTGTAAGATTTAATAAAATTATATTTTCTAATTTGAATTTTATTTAATTAATTTTTTAAATTGTCTAACGTAAAACAGTTTTTCTGAATTGACGTTCAGACTTTTAAAAATTATAAGACTTCTTACAAAGTGTCAAGAATTACGAAAGTTTATAAAAATGATTACAATTTTTATTTTATAATTAATAATATTTATTTAAAAACAGTAATATTTATTTAAAAACAGTAATATTTAAGAAAAAAATATTTTTTTTGTTAACGTAATAAATAAAAAACAGGCTTCGAACTCATCTACTAAAATATACAATTTACTCCTTTTCTGTCAAATTGCTGACACAAAAAGCTACTTTTTTCACAAATTACATTATTTGAAATTCTCTAATAATTGAAAAAATTATTCTTAATCAATTTTTTGTTATTCGATTAAAACGAGATTTTTTTAATCCTCAAATTTTAATTTTTCGATAGCTACTTCTCACTACTATTTTCAGTCTTAAAGCTAGTTTTTGCTACTTTTTTAAAAGCAATTGTCGAGTGCGAAGCCTGAAAAAGTAATAATTTATTAATTATTTGACAATGGTATTGAATTATAATATCCTACAAATATTTCATTATTTTAAACTCTTAAAATATGTTACTTCTTTTTTCTTTCAGATTCTGATCAAAGTGAAGCCGACGATTACAATCTAACATAAATATGTGGTGACGATAAAAAGAAGTTATAAATATTGAGGTATCAAAGACTGTAACAATTTTAAAAATTCGTGTATGTTAAAATTGAATCTCAAAATCGAACAAAAAAAAATTGTAACATTATTCGTCAATTAAATTTATTTTAAAAAAAAACCTTATTTACTCCTTTATTATTTCGAAAGTAATATCTATCCTATCTCACAAAAACCATAAACAAAAAAAACGATCACCAATAAAAAATTATTTTTTAATTAAATTGTATTATCCAATTGTTAGAAAATTAGAAAATTTATTTACAACACTTTTCATTGATCTACTTAGATAAAAATTTCATTTTATCTAATAGACAATAATTGAGAATAAAGTTACGTTGTTTATTTAATTATAATTTTTATAACTTAATTTATAATTTTTCTTCATTAATTATATGCCAGAATTGTATTTTTCAATTGTTTAAAAATTACTAAATCTCTTTACCACAGTTTTCATTGTTTGAGGAGGAAGCCAAGAAATCCAAAGATTTTCTGAAAAAATTTTGACATTCAATGTACTTAGCCAAAAAAATATGAAAATTCCAAATTTTTAAAGAAAGGAAATTTTTTTCTCCATCATTAAAGGTTTTTCCAGTTTCGTATCAAGTGTGAAAAGATTTTTCAAAAGGTTAGAAGAGGGAGCAAAGAAATCCGAAGATTTTCTGCAAAAATTTTGACTTTCAATAAACTTAGCCCAAAAAAATATGAAAATTTCAAATTTTTAAAGACAGGAAAATTTTTTGACGATCAACTAAAGATTTTCCAGCTTCGTCTTATGTACAAAAAGATTTTTTGAAAGGTTAGATGAGGGAGCAAAGAAATCCGAAAATTTTCTTAAAAAATTTTGAAAATTTATAAACGTAGCCAAAAAAAAGAAAATTCCAAATCTTTAAAAACAGGAAATTTTTATGACCATCAACTAAACTTTTTTCCAGCTTCGTCTCATGTACAAAAAGATTTTTAAAAAGGTTTGAGAAGGGTGCAAGGAAATCCGAAAATTTTCCGAAAATATTTTGACATTCAATGAACTTATCCAGAAAAAAGGAACAAAATTCTAAATTTTTCAAGACAGGAAATTTTTTTCTCGAGCAACTAAAGTTTTTCAAGTTTCGTATCAAGTATTAAAAGATTTCTCAAAAGGTTTAAGGAGGGAGCAAAGAAATCCTGCAATTTTCGGAAAAAATTTTGACATTCGAAGAACATATACAGAAAAAAAGTACAAAATTTAAAATTTTTAAAGACAGGAAATTTTCTTCTCAAGCAACTAAAGTTTTTCTAAATTAGTTTCAAGAATAAAAAGACTTTCCAAAAAATTTCAGGAGGAAACAAAGAAATCCAAAGATAGTCAGAATAAATTTTGACATTCAATAAAATTAGCCAAAAAAATAGGAAAATTGCAAATTTTTAAAGACAGGAAATTTTTTTCTTCATCAACTAAAGTTTTTCTAGTTACCTTTCAAGGAGAAAAACATTTTTTAAAAGGTTTGAGGAAGGAGCAGACAAATCCAGAGATTTATGGAAAACATTTTGACGTTCAAAGAAACTTTGACCAAAAAAATAGGAAAATTGCAAATTTTTAAAGACAGGAAATTTTGTTCTTCATCAACTAAAGTTTTTCTAGTTTCCTTTCAAGAAGAAAAACATTTTTTAAAAGGTTTAAGGAAAGAGCAGACAAATCCAGAGATTTATGGCAAAAATTTTGACGTTCAAAGAAACTTTGACCAAAAAAATAGGAAAATTGCAAATTTTTAAAGACAGGGAATTTTTTTCTTCATCAACTAAAGTCTTTCTAGTTTCCTTTCAAGAAGAAAAACATTTTTAAAAAGGTTTAAGGAGGGAGCAAACAATTTCAAATATTTTCGGAAAAAATTTTGACATTCGATGAAATTAGCCAAAAAAAAAGAAAATTCAAAATTTTTTAAGACAGGAAATTTTTTTCTTAGTCAACTAAAGTTTTCCTAGTTTCCTTTCGAAGAGAAAAACATTTTTAAAAAGGTTTGAGGAGGGAGCAAACAATTACAAAGATTTTCTGAAAAAATTTTTTACATTTGATGAAATTAGCCAAATAAAAATAGAAAAATTGCAAATTTTTAAAGACAGGAAATTTTTTTCTTCGTCAACTAAAGTTTTTCTATTTTCTTTTGAAGGAGAAAAACATTTTTAAAAATGTTTTAGGAGGGAGCAAACAATTTCAAAGATTTTCTGAAAAAATTTTGACATTTGATGAAATTAGACAAAAAAATAGGAAAATTCAAAATTTTTAAAGACAAGAAATTTTTTTCTTAGTCAACTAAAGTTTTCCTAGTTTCCTTTCGAAAAGAAAAACATTTTTAAAAAGGTTTGAGGAGGGAGCAAACAATTTCAAAGATTTTCTGAAAAAATTTTGACATTCGATGAACTTAGCCAAAAAAAAAAATATTCCAAAATCTTAAAGTCAGGAAATTTTTTTCTCGATCAACTAAACTTTTTCCAGCTTCGTATCGAGTATTAAAAGATTTCTCAAAAGGTTTGATGAGGGAGCAAAGAAATCCAAAAATTTTCTGCAAAAATTTTGACATTCGATGAACTTAGCCAAAAAAAAATAGAAAATTCCAAATTTTTAAAGTCAGGAAATTTTTTTCTCGATCAAATAAAGTTTTTCTAGCTTCGTATCAAGTATTAAAAGATTTCTCGAAAGGTTTAGGGAGGAAGCAAAGAAATCCGAAAATTTACTGAAAAAATTTTGGCATTCGATGAACTTAGCCAAAAAAATAGAAAATTCCAAATTTTTAAAGTCAGGAAATTTTTTTCTCGATCAACGAAAGTTTTTCTAGCTTTGTATCGAGTATAGAAAGATTTCCCAAAAGGTTAGGGGAGGAAGCAAAGAAATCCAAAAATTTTCTGAAAAAATTCTGACATTCGATGAAATTAGCCAAAAAAAATAAGAAAAGTCGAACTTTTTTAAAACAGGAAATTTTTTTCTTAGTCAACTAAAGTTTTCCAAGTTTTTATTTAAGGAGAAAAACATTTTTAAAAAGGTTTGAGGAGGGAGCAAACAATTTTAAAGATTTTC